AGAGAGAGAGACAGATATATATATATTGCTGTCAAATTTTGTGTGGACAAGAAAGAAGTAAAATATTTACAGGAAAAGTATAAAAATCCCAAATGCACTAAAATCAGGCGACTTTGCAGGCATCCTTAAGTTTGCACCCACTGTAAAGGAACCGAAACTGCAATTTGAGGACAGCGAATTTTGCAGGTGGTTTATGCAAGATAATCCACATTGGAACTCAAGTCAGCAGACCAACTCTGCAAACATAAGGCCCTGTATCAAATTGTTGGTGAGGGAATTTACATTTTATAGTTTCAATTAAAATAAAATATTTATATGCATCTTTTGGCATTTAATGCCTTAGCTGAGTTTCCTATTAAACAAGTAATTACCACTCTGGTAATTGAATGCTAGGGTTTCTCCTCTACAAATACAAGGGATTTTTCCTCAAATTATTACTCACTCCGTGACCTTAGATGATTTGTTTAAACTTTCCCAATGACAGCTGTCTTGTCTGTGAAATTAGACTGAGCCCCTAACTCATAATGTGTGTGTGAGGCTCGAAGAAGACAATGTGTATTAAAGTGTTTGCTCAACATGAAGGCACCAATCAAATGCCAGTGACTCATCATCATTTTTGGAACCTCCTGCACTGACATTCATTCAATTCACAAAGCAAAGAACTCACAAGGCTAGAAACACTTATGGCTCCCGCAGACTCGCCAAAGATGGTCACAGAGCTGGGGTCCCCACCAAAGAACTCGATGTTCTTCTGGACCCAAGACAGAGCAGCCACCTGGTCCTTGAAGGCCCAGTTCCCCGGCGCGTGCTGATCCCATGTGCTGAGGACAAGAGGCAGGGTGAGAATTCTCAGTCAGCCATGGTGTGTTTCCCACTGCCCTGGAAGTTCTCTGCAGAGGTTGTGGGCAGGCGTCAGTGGGGAGGGGACTGAGAGTCAGAGGCCTGGAGGAGCTGGGGAAACTGGGCTCAGTTCTCACGCTTTGCTGGGATTTGAATTTCTTTGAGAATTTGAAGAAAGCTATGCACCCGAGAAGAAATGCACATACAATATTGTAGGTACAATTTCAAGTATTCATGGGCTCCTCAGAATCCATGAATCCCAATCCATGAATCCTATGTTGCCCAGGCTGGTCTGGAATCCAAGAATCCGATCCTGAGAGTTGGTCTGTACTAGAAAGCAAGGGTTTCCTGGGCACAGAATTTTCCATGAAACTAAATTAATGTTAGTCATAATAACAATAACAGGCCAGATGCGGTGGCTCATGCCTGTAATCCCAGCACTTTGGGAGGCTGAGGTGGGCAGATCACAAGGTCAGGAGATCAAGACCATCCTGGTTAATATGGTGAAACTCCGTCTCTACTAAAAAATAAAAATAAAAAAAAAATAAAAATTAGCCGGGTGTGGTTGCAGACACCTACAGTCCCAGCTATGCAGGAGGCTAAAGCAGGAGAATGGCATGAACCCGGGAGGTGGAGCTTGCAGTGAGCTGAGATCGTGCCATTGCACTCCAGGCTGAATGACAGAGCGCTGTCTCAAAACAAACAAACAAAAAGAACAATAACAGCAGCTGCAGCAAGTACAGAACACTGTTCGAAGGGCTTTAAGGCTAATATTCATACAACCCTCACAGCTATGTTGTAGGTAGTGCTGGTTTTTCTCCCTTTGCTTCTTTGGGTCTTCTCCACCCTTCTCTGCCCTGCCCCCGAAAAGCTGACCTCTAGGAATGGCATCATCCAGGCCTCAGCTGTGTGCCATGAGGGTGGGCTAGAGAGAGACTGCGATGTTTATCCCACCACCCCATGCTCCATCTCTGATGGGAAGTGTTTGGGCAGAGGCTGCTTTTTTCCACACTAGCAGCTCATGCCAACTCCCTTCCACTAAACCTGTGAGCCTGCTGTCAGGACACCAATGGATACATCAACTCTTTAATTCAGGCACAGAGAGGTTAAACCCCCTTGCCCAAGAGCTAGAAAGCTGCAGTTTTGGGATCCCACGCCCCAATCCTGCTGCCCCTGCCAATTGTATGTTTTCCAGGATGGAATTAATGGGAGAACAAATGAAACAAGTGGAAATGCCATAGAACCAAAGAAATGTCTAGACTGAAAGCATGCATGCAGTGCACACCATATATGCATGTCATCCTGGGGCACATTCTACTCCCCTCCATTTTCCAGTTCCCCAGACTGCTCCTTCCCCTGGTCCCCTCCACTGTCCATGACCACTGAGCTGGCTCTGACTCCACCTTCTCTCTCCCAGGACCCTGCATCTGGTCAAGAGTCAAGCCCCGCCAATTTTACTTCCGTTCTACTGTGGCTCCCACCCTGGTCCCCTTTTCTTCATCTCTGTTTATCCTGAGAAGCATTATACCTTAATGGTTACCATCTCAGCCTCAAGCACGGGATTCACAGCCTGGTCACATATTATCTGGGTGACCTTGGGCAAGTCACTTAACCTGCTTTGCGTCAATGGTTCTCACATCTAAAATGGGGATAATGATAGTGCCCACTCCACATGGCTGTGAAGAATAACAGCGCCAGGCAGACAATAAGCATGTCATACACACATGTTATATACATGTTAGCTATTGCTTTTGTGGTTGAATGACCCCATGGCATGCATCAAGACAGTGCCTCCCAGTGGGGCTCCCCATCTGCAGCTGGGCACCCCTGGCTCAGCCTCCACTCTGCTCCAGAGTGAGGTTCCTGGTACACTACTCTGAGAAAGGTAATCCTGGTCCCTCAATCTGTATTGGATAAAGCCCAAATTCCATGTACGGCCTGGCATTCAAGGCCTTTCCCTATCAGGCCTGTCCTTGCCTTCCCATATCCATCTCCTGCTATAGCTTCATCTACCTATGAACGTAACTAGATATGATAAACAATTGTTGAAAGCTTTTCTACCAAAGGAATCTTATGCAGAATCCTAACGTATAGAGCAGCTAGAAGTGTAATTGCTCTGGTCAGGGCACCCCGTCAGCCTGTCCTGCCTGCAAAGCACTCCCAGAGCCACATTACAGGACTACAGGCACAGTGCAGTTTGCAAAAGCATTGCTTCATCCCTGTGTGTTGCTACCTCCCTCCCAACTTCCTAGCTTTTGCACAGTTAGCACCCTTTGCCAAGCACATGTTCTCTGAATCCCTTCTCCTCAAACCCAACCACATCCTTCTGGTGCAGTTCCAATGCCACCCCTCTCCTGAAGCCTCCTTGATCCCTGACAACTCCTTGCTCTGTTTCCACAGCCCCATGGCCTCTCACTCTTGGAGAATTAACCATCTCCTTCTTGGTAATGTGGATATTTTTGTCCCTGTATTATCTCCCCCATAGTCAGGAGCCTCTGTAGGGCAGGATTCATGTTTGAATCATTGCTGCCTTTCCCATAGTATGTGACAGTGACCCCCAAGCATAATCCTGGCCCCACCTCTCACTTCTCCTCTTTGCTTACATTGGACCCTGGTCAGGACTTCTCCCACCATGACTTAGGCAGATAATAGAAGGGGTCAAGAGACCTAGCTCTGTTTTGTGACCCCTGGGAAGTTGTTTGGCCTCTCTGGGCCTCCATTTTCCAGCTGTGAAATGAGAATAACAACAGAGAACCTTCCTTGAAGAATTATTTTGAGGGTGAGTTGAAATAATGCATGGCAAGTGCACAGCCCCACGACTGTTTCAGTGAAAGCCCAGTACATGTTAGGCATGACTGGAGGAGGGAAGCCACGGTGATGGAGTGATGATTCTCAAGTGAGCATTTGAGAAGCCTTGGAGTGAGGCTCAGGTGGACACTACCGACTGCTCACACAAACAGTGCACTGTTCTTCCAGGGCCCACAGAGGGGCTACATGGCCCCAGCTCCCTTGCAGATGGATGTGGCCATGTGACTGAGTTCTGCTGATGATGAGTGAACAGAAGTGACGAGTGCCACCTTCAGGCTGGGCCAGGAGACGCTCCATTGCATGATTCTCCATGTTCTCTTGGTCCACCTGCCAAATGCAGAAGATTAGGGCCCTAAAGAATCTACATGAGAGATCAAGATGTAAGGAGCTAGATCCCTGGTTGGCCATGGGGAAGAATGTCTGCCGATCAGGGATGCTCAATTAAACTTTACTCAAGTGAGAAAGAGATTTGTGTTGTTTTAAGCCACCAAAATTTTGGGATTTGTTTCCTACAGCTGCAAAAATTACCTAAGTAATTAGGGCCAGTTTTGTTCAATGTCCCGGAAGGCTCACGCCTTGTTAGGTTGCACGGCACTGTCTATGGCTACTGCACGGCTGCTCCTTGGGGATCTGGGGTATTGATTATTTGGAGAGACTCACGTGAAGAAGCCAAATATTCCCAGCCGATGCTGGACGACCACAACCAGCATGTCCTCATAGGCAGCCAGGGTGGACCCGTCGAAGATGGAGGCTGAGCCAGTCTTGAAGGCACCCCTTGGGAACCATACCAAGATCTGAGGAGGGGAGAGGAGCGTCCAGTCAACCCAGGATGCACCACCTCCCCTCCTCATGCAGGTGAGGCACACGTTCTTAACGCCAAATAGAAATGTCCCACTTGCTAAGCAGGGTACAAGGTTTTGTCTTTTGAAGAAGGCCCAGGGTTAAGCATGTGGGCTCTGGCACCTGAGTGCCTGGGTTTGACTCCCACTGCCACTGACTAGCTGTGTGACCTTGGGAAGATTACTTAGCCTAAGGTTCATTTTTCTCATCTGTAAAATGTGAAGAAGGAAAGTATCTCACTAACGAAGATATCCTGAGGTTTAAACAAAATTCTGCATCTAAAGCTCATAGAACAATAAGCAATAGTACGTTTCAAGTTTCAAGTGCTCAGAAATTGTTCACTAAATACCAGCGAGCCTGTGACCCACAGGAAGATGGAAACATTGTAAGCATGTGTAAGAGCAAAAGCAGCTCAAGGTGTTTCAGGGAAAAGCTCTCAGAGAGAGGAGAGGAAAGGAGGGGAGGGCAGAAAAGGAGAATGGAAGAGGGGAGGGGAGGGGAGGGGAGAAAAAGAGGAGGAGGAGAAAAAGAAAGAGGAGGAGGAAGGGAGAAGGAGAAGGAGGAAGGAGGAAGAGGAGGAGGAGAAAGGATGAAAAATGAAGAAAGAAAGAGAAAGAAGAAAGGTCAGGCGCAGTGGCTCACGACTGTAATCCCAGCACTTTGGGAGGCTGATGTGGGCACATTGCCTGAGCTTGGGAGTTTGAGACCACCCTGGGCAGTATGCTGAAACCCTGTCTCTACTAAACCAAAAATTAGCTGGGCATGGTGGCAGGCACCTGTGATCCCAGCTACCAGGAGGCTGAGACACAAGAATCCCTTGAGCCCGGGTGGCGAAGGTTGCAGCGAGCCAAGTTTACACAACTGCGCTTCAGCTGGGGAACAGAGCAAGACTTTGTCCGTACCCCCCCGCCCCCCCAAAAAAGAGAAAAACAAAACAGGGAAGAGTAAAAATTTTATTGATTAGAAAAATTGGTACCAGGGAACATAAAACATTATTCAAATGGCGTTTATATATTTAATAACAAATCCCTTCCATTTTCTTTCTTAAGGTCATATTAGAGATTACAGCATTTGGGGCAGGTAAAGAGAAGAAAGCCACTGAGGAAAGGGGAGGTGGACAAAGCGCTTTCTTTGGTGCCAGAATCTAGCGCCTACTGTGTGTACAACATGGAGCAAGTCATTCATGCCCTTCCTCTGCCTCATCTTCTCCATCTGTGGAATGGGTCCAAATCGTCCTTACTCACTGGGTTAGCGTAGGAGTTAAATCCAATGATGCACTGTGCCTGGTACACAGCGAGCATTTAATAGACATTACTGTTATGATACAAGACAGCCAGCTTCCCCTGGCAGAGGCGTGGGGAATGCAAGAGGATGCGAGGGTGTGGCTAAAAAATAGAATATGCCTTTCCCCCACGCACAGACACAGGGATGTTTTATATTCTTAAATGAAACACTTAACATGATTACCTGACTGTCTTCATTATGAATAGAAAAGTTGGAGGAAAAAATTATCCTTTTTGAAAAAAGATACCTCAAATTAAAACAAAAGTCAGGCTCCTTTTAAACAGTGTCTTTTCTGAAAGCTTACAGATCACTAAATATGGAACAGACGGGAAAAACAAAACAAAATAAAAATTTAAAGTCAAGGCACTGCCATTAAAGAATCAATCAGAAAAACTGATCACGTGAATCTATCATTCCAATGATTTTTAAAAATGTGATTACATTTGCCTTTTTCCCAACAGGGGTAGTCCCGATTCCAACCACGCAGCTGCACTGCCTGGATCCCAGGCCAAGGTCCTGCTAGCTGGAGCTTGAAGCACACACAGCAGGCAGCCTTACGGGGAGCTTGGAGCCTGCATCGGCGTGGGCAGGCGCATAGATGTTCAGGTACAGGCAGTCTTCTGACGCGCCGATATTGGGGTAATGCACCTTGAGCATGTGTTGATCTAAGCGCAGCCACTCTGAGTTCTGGAGGCACCTTGGAGAAGGGGAGGAGAAAACCCTCAGAAAAAGTTATCAGCAAACTTGCCTGGGAAGGGCCAGTTTTTCTGAGAGCAGTGAGGCCTGGCCGTCTCCTCTGCCTGAGCAGAAGAGGCAGCTACTGGTACAAAGTCCAATCATACCCAAACCCCCATGGTTTCCAAAACAAACAAGCAAGCAAATTATAACTCTCTCTGATCAGGTTCCTGGCAAGGAAAGCACATGGTGTAGAATAATTGCACCATTACCCCCCACCACCCTCCTATGCCACCACGATAATATAGACACACATAACAAACCAAGCTGGCCCAACAATTCCCCAAACCGCAGAGGGCAAGACACAGTCGAATAACAAGGGCTTTGCCCCTGCGGCTCCCTTTTCTGTCCCCAGAAGAGCAAAGGAACATTTCCTGGCCTCTGTATCTGGAACCAAATGGGATAGACTCCCGCACCCAGGCTTTGCTCAAGCCGGGCCCTCTGCCTGGACTGCTCTCTCCCCACATCTGCGTGCTCACATTCTTCCCTTTGTTTCAGATTCACTCCAACTTGCCACCTTCTCCCAGAAGCCTTCTGAGATTTCTCCAGTTCTACCATATCTCCTCTTTGGAAACACCCACCTACTTTGCGTTCTTTCCCAGAACTTGTCCTAAGCTTGTGCGTGTGCATTATCGTCATCCCCAGCTCAGCTGTGAGCACCTGAAAGCCTATGACTCTGTTTTAGTTACCTCTGTACCTCAGAGCACCAGCAGAGCATGATACACTGTAAGATTAAGTGAGGCTGTCATGTGAATGTTTCTACCATACTGTGTGCACAATCAATGCTAGTTGTTTTCGTAATAGAATAGTGTGCAATATCACTGCTCGTCTTCTCCTGACAGGTGTTCATGCCTCCCTGCCCCTTTTGTATGTTGTTGATCAGGCCTCAGTGCTTTCAGAAAAGCCATCTCTGACCTCCCATCCAAGCTGGGCCAGGTGGGTCTTTGTTTCCCCTCAGCACCCTTCCCTGACACCCTAATGGTTGCCCTTCCCATCTTATATTTTAACTGTCAATTACTGCTTACATTCCTGCCACTATCACTCCTTTGCATGCTTCCTGAGGACAGGTGTGACTCATCCCCTGCCGTGTCCCCAGGCCTAATGGAGAGCCAGTTATCATGTTGGTTCTCAATGAATATTAGTTGGGTGAATGAATGAATGCACACAACAAATGAGTTTCAGCTTGATGTCCTCAGTCCTTGGACCACATGGGGTCATCTTCTATGGCTTAGGGAATATCCTGGCACCAAAATTTCTTCTGCCAGGAACCCATGTGGCCCAACCTGAGAGCTTGACAGAATCTAGAGAGTTGGAAGATTCTAGGGGGATTTTCAAGTCTCACTGCCCACCCAGTAAGTCTCACCTCACCCCTCCACAATTAACCTGGTAACTGCTTACCTACCCGAGCTTGAAAATCTGCAGTGACCAGGAGCTCCTTACCTCCCAGAGTCCCTGTGTCACAGAGACACATCCACATGTTCATTCCACGGGTATTT